AATACTGAAAATCGCATCCTAGGAAACCAGAGAAAGATGGCGGCAGCTGTTTTTCTTTGAAGTTGCCCACCCCAAATTACCCGAAGTGGGAGTCCAGGCAGATGGAGTTTCCCGAGAAAGCGGGGCTTCCTCCACCCACCTGCCCCTCTACTCAGGTGGTAATAGCTTTAGGAGGTGCTTAGAACTGTACCAAACTCCCGAGATGGAAGTGAGGTAATGGGGGGCGGGGGGGACCTTCTCACTCTGGCTCCCCAAAGAAGCTGGACAGGGTCAGGCAAGACCCCACCCTGACCCAACAGATCACTGCTGACGAGGTCAGGCCTGTAGTCTGCTTGGACCTCCAGGTTGAGAAAGTAATCTCTGGGGAGCAGATTGTAGGGACCCTGGATGGGAAAGCAGGCCAGGCTGTGGCCACAGCTTGGTCTATAACATTTAATATTTAGACCAGTGGTTCTCAACCCAGGGACAATCCCCCCCACCATTTCTGGTTGTCACAGCTTTAGGGGACAGGGAGGATTACTACTAGCTTCTAGTGGGCAGAGGCCAGAGAAGCTGCGAAATATCCTACGTAGCACAGGAAAGCCCTAGAGCTCCCGAACAAAAAGTGATCCAGGCCGAGTCACTGAGAGCAAAAACTGAGAAACCCGCATTTAGACTAAGATTTGCGGGCCTCCATTTGGATTCTTGTATCAGATCTTGCAAATATTTCAGGCAGGTCTGCTAAGAATCTAATCATAAACTATAAAACTTTTTATAACACTGTTTTTATGGGGAAAAAAGTTATTTCAGGTTATAGTATCCAAAGAATAACTTCTCTGACTCCAGTTAGAATTCATTCTTTTATTCAACATTTACCAAGTACCTATCATGTGATCAGGCATAGCGCTAAGCAAAAGTGACAGTGTTAAAGGAAACTGATAGGATCTGAGGACTGCAGATTCAATTCCTGCCTGGCTCAGAGCAGTACAGTGTGAAAAAAGAACTGGGACTGTGAAGTCACACCTACCCACTTCCAATCCCAGCTCCACCACTTACTGTCATTAGGCATGCTACTTTACTTCCCTGAACCAATCTCTTCATTTCTATAATTGGTCAAATAGGACCTTCCTCAATGTCGGAGACAACTAAGTAAGATCATTCCTGTAAAGCACGAAGTATATTGCCTCGCACACAATCAATATCCAATAATCAATTTCTATTATTAAGAGCAAATTTTAAGTTTTTAAGTAACCACTAAGTTGGAAACTGCTAATATGCCTACAAAATAGCCACTAACTGGGACTGTGACAGCTGGAACACAATTCTAGTCACGTTAATTGCACAGCATCTTACATCCTTCAAATTCTGGCTCCTTTCTCCTTCTCCAGCCTCATCTCCCATGACCTACATCATCTTTAATGCAGCCCCGTGTCCTCATGAGTGGGGACAGATTGAAAGATGAGATCTGGTAGTAACCAAAACATGTCAGGCCAAAGGTCGCTGTGAGAAAGAAAACTCTTCAGCTATAACCCTGGCAGTGTACATAGGTGCTGGGTGGGAGAGGGAGAAAAGGGGGTGAGGGGCAGGGAGGGAGAGAGAATGAACAAACACAAAAGGTTCACAAGCCAGTAACAGGTCAAGTTTACTTGTCATGTGTTTCTAAATGAAAACACTTGCACCAGCATTCATCCCTCACTTCACAATTCACCTATATTCTGCAACTATTTCATAAGAATGGATTGAAAAATAAGTCAAATATAATCAACCTCATCAACGGAAAAAATCCACACACAGATGGACCACATTACCACAGCCTAACAAATGCGGCCAGATATCAATGCCAACATCTAAATGAGAAAAGAAAGCATTACCCACAAATAATTACTGAAAGTATAGTTTAACAGCAAAGAATGGTTAATAGTTGCAGTTTCCCTTAGCCAATATACAATGTTTTCATATATAATAAAAGGGCATATTTTATTGGACCTGCTTTGAGACAAGTTATCTGTCAGCTAACGAGTCCCTTTCATAGAAGTAGTTTACTAAAAAGTTTACATCTATACCTATATAACCAAGCATCTACCTAGCATACCACTGGAATCCCCGGCAATCTCTGCTCAGATTCCTGTGACAAGACAGAAGCAAAGGCAAACATGTTAAATATTCTTTTAAGTTCACATGTCTGATGTAAGTTTTGGCCACGCTCACTTTTGCCTTAGTGTTACTCCAGGGAAAATTTTTAAAAAAGATAAACTATTATCAACTTAGCTACGGAAAAATAAACAGTATCTATGCTCAGTGTGATTATGGATAGGAACCCTAACCCAAACCCTAATCCCAGGTCTGTGTTCAAGTCCTGCTTCTACTCCACCTGTGACCTTAGCCGAGTTACTGAAACTCACCGAGTCTCAGTCTCCTGATACGCAAAATAAAATAAAACGATTGGATTGAGAAGCTTTAACGTTTCTTCCACTCAAATTCTGATACAGAGTTTGGAAAATCTTCACAATCAAAATGTTTCTTAATGATCCTTTGGGTGTAGGAGGATGAAATGAAGGCCTTTAGAGAAATGATGTGACAAATTACCGGTTTGTAGATTTGAAAAGATCGTTTAGTGAAACAGTCTTGAAATCTGTGCTTAGTGATTATTGCAAACTACTGCCTGAAAATATACAGTGACATGACCACAGAACTGTTCCTGTGTCGCAGCAACTTCCTGTCACACATCCTTCCAGGTAGCTGTTTTCTGAAAAAGAGTCTATGGCTCTCCTAAGTAAGTCCAATGACGTGACTATTAACATTCATGAGATATGCCATCATTCAGCCTTCAGGGGTGTACTATGCTCCACTGGATTTTACTTACCAATTCCAGTTTCAATGACTGAGGGTATCAATATTCCAAATAAGCAACAAAACAGCAAGAGTAGAATAATTCTATGGCTTGGAATAAGGGTCACTCTTTATAGAGTCTGAGAAGACCCTAGTGATCATCTCCAACACTTTCATTTTACAGAAAAGCATTACATTTATTTCACTAAATGCTTAAGGATTAACTGGCTGAGCATGTACATGAGCCTCCTAACTCATCTGACATTAGAAAGAAAAAAAGCTTCGCTTACTGGCGGGGCACGGGGGGTGTTCCTTCCTAAAAAATCCCTAAAGAAAATAATAATGTTCCTGGAAATTACTTATTCTACATGCAGAATTTCTGGGAAGTACTAACATCCATACACGATCACAGCTATTTTGGTGGTTCTGGTCACAAAAGAAGAGAAAAAGGCAATTATGAACACAATTGACTTCACACGTGTACCACCAATCGGTACCACACGTTTAAGCAATCACAGAAACTGTACCATAATAAATATTAACAGCAATGATAGATAACTCAAATATTTCACTTGCCCTCCAGTCAGGTCACGGATACTAACTATGCAAAGTACACCATGGCTCATCCTTGTGTCGTTCTGCATTGTAAATCACACAATTAAGGGGAAAAAAAAGTCCTCTACCCACTCTATGCGCCTATATAACCTTAGAACATAACTAAAAAAACTCTGTTTAATTGCCATTTTACCAATAAAGTCCACTTGAAGCCTTAACTTTCAAGAAAGGTGTTCCTCCCCCACCCCCTTTGCTTTCTAAGAAAGTAAAAGATTAGCACAGTGCTAATTTACTTGTTAACATAAATATAAATTTAGGAACAATAAATTGACAATTAATACTGATGATGATATTCCTCCAGTCTAGAAGAATAAAATTAAAATATAAACTGCTGACATACATACGAGATACAAAAATCCAAGAACATCAAGTTTAGGACACACAGGACTGGGTTAAGGGAACAAAATCCACCTTACCCATACATATATGAGGAGTTATTAGTAATCTTTACATCAAGATTGTTTAAAAATTTGTAACAGCGTTACATAAACCTTTCTAGTATCAGGAAATAATTCCTCTTTATCCACCACTGGACAAAAAATGCATTTGAGGCTGACCTGGAAATCCAATGTCCCATGTGTCTACAAAAATAAGGACAATTAGGAAAAATTATGAATTCTAAGAAATATGAACTAATTGGAAACATACAGACAAGTGTTTCAAGATTCTACAACATGAAACGCTTGCAAGAGCCCTACTTGAAAAGAATCTCGAATCAATCATCACCATGCTTGCTCTACGTCCAAAATCAGGAGCTTCCCTAGTCTGCACATATCCAGATAGGTCACCGGGTTTAAAGTCACATGGTGAGTCTCTGGGTCGTTTTAAAATTTGTCGTTGGTAGTGTTATAGTATCCTGTTTGTCCAAAACGCCTGCACTATCCAGCAATTTTCAAACTTCAGGGTCCCTCAGTAACTGGCAGGACACGCAGATTCCAGGGCCCACGCTCCAGAATCTTATTCAACGCGTCTTATTCAAATTGCCTACACCTGCAATTTCAATCAACTGCCACTGGAATCAGCTGTCAGATCCAGTTGGATCTGAAGCCGGTGGGTCCAACAAGTTCCCCAACGAGCACCTGCTTCAACCCCCGGGACGTGTCACGGAGAAAAGTCAGGGCAGCTGGGACTTCGGGCGCCGCGGGGAAGGGCTCTGGGCCAGGCCGGAGCGTCCCACCAGGAGATGCCTGGTCGTCGAGCAAGTGAGGAGGCAATGGCGATGGGACGGAGCTATTTTCAGCATTTCCATACAGTGCCATTTAGCTCTGCTGGAGAAAGAGCTGGACTTCCAAGTCCCACGGGTCAAGCTTACTAGCAGCTCTGCCACTTACTAGCCGTGCGTCCTTAGCGCTCGGACCTCGGTTTCCCCGTCTCTACAACGGGCTCCCACGCCACCCCACCGTGAAAGCCTAAGACCAAACGAAACTAACTCGGCCGGTCGCCGGCACTTCCTGGCTCTCCCCGGCCAGGCCCGCCTGCCCCACCGCCCCGCCGGACGGCGACACCTGAGTGCGCGCCCAGCGGGCCGCCGCCTCCCAACGCTCCCCGCCCGATCCGACCCTCGGCCGGCCACTCACGGGTAGGCATGGTGACCCCGAGCCGCGCTAGCCGCCGGGCCGAGGCTCAGCGGGGCCTCGCCAGGCGCGCCGACGGCACCATGACGGACGGGCCGGGGAGACCGGGACGAGGCGAAGGGCGAAGGGCGAAGGGCAGAGAGCGCCGACACGAACCCCGCGGCTCACGCAAAGGAAGCTGGCGACAGGAGCTGCAGCCGGCCCAGCTCCGCGCCAGACGACACTTGGGCGTCCGCACGCCCTGACGTCAGCACGTCACCGACGTCTCGGCCCCGCCTCCACAGGAGGCCGCGCTCCGGGCAGGGAGGGGCTGCTTGCTGGGGCTTGGGGAAGTTGGAGAGGACAGGGGCCGCGCATAAGGGCGACTTCGGGCTTCGTTTTATTGTCAAACCCTCCTGATTTGAGTCATATTCATTTTCATGAACGCTTATGCGAGGTGCATTAGCAATATTTGTTTCTTGCAACTGCACCCGTTTATGAGGTTGTGAGGCTACGCGTGACGGCCTTGAGTGTATCGTGTACCTGTAGGCTTTTTCTTTTATAAGCTCTTGAACTTGCATGTGTTCTGTATTCTCTGAAAGCGTGATTTATTTGAGACACACGGAGGTCATCAGGGGCGACGGCTGCGCTTGTTCTGAGAGGACAGCAAATGTAATTTCCTCTTGCTCTGCTGGTGACTCAGAGAGATTTCACACCTCAGGAGTCAGTTTCCTCCAGAGAGGGCGGTTCTATCCACTTGACTGAGTCACTTTTCTTGACTCTCTGAATGTGATTGATAATTGATGTATCTAATGGTCACCTAAGCGAATACTTGGAGCCCAGAGCCTTCAGCAACCCACATATGCTTAGCTAGTCCCTGTGGGCTGTGGACAGCCAGTATGGAGAACTCGAAGGAAGCCACAGAGGTCTCAACCGGTGTTTCTCAAAGTGGCTTAAGATCCTCTTGTGCCTGAATCACCTGGGAACCTGTTAATCAGATTCCTGCCTTCCTAGCTAAACCCCGATGGATCACACTTGAGGGTGATTCAAATACCTATTTAAGTTTGAGATCCTTTGTCCTAGTGCCAACATTCTGGTTAAGAAATGATATTGTGCAGTACTGAAAGGAGAAGAAAAAGAAGGTGAAGATAAGAGGGGGGAGGGCTTGAGGGAAACTATCTTGAGGTGGACTTGTAAGAAAGCAGAATTTGAATTAGCAAAGACCTGGAGAGCTCTTAAAGAGGCTGTGGGAGGGTGGAGGGCAATTTAGAGTGAGTCAGGGAAGTGTGTACAAATGGTATGTTGGAGGCTGTCTCTTGCTTAAGGGTATAAGGGGCAGATTACCAAATACTTGGTTTTCTTTCAATGCATTGTTGCATATTTTTATCATCTATAACATCTTTCCTGGTCCCAGTTTTCTTCCCCAGACTTTCACAACATCTTGATTTGCCTCTACTGTAGCACTTTTCCCACTGAATCTTAAGTAAACTGTCATACGTGCTTGTATTCTACCACTGGGCTGTACACATTTCAGAAAATGACAAAAACCATATTCTGTTCATATTTCTGTATTCCTGCCTGGCACACAGTAGGGGGACTAGAGCATGTTAACTTAATAACTATGTAAATAAAGTACATATTTATTGACTGGATGTAAAAACAAAACAAAACACGTACAATGGAACTAGTTAATGAACAACTTTACGTGCAAGCTTGGAATATGTCCTTTAAGAAACCACTCTAGGTTCTTCATAAGGACAGTAGCGTTGAATTATCAGCAACAGGGTTCTATGGAGCCGACAGCATGACAGACAATCCATGGAGGGAAGACCTCGATTTTGATACAGAAGGGAGTGTTAGGTGCATAGTATTGGTGGCTGTGGAAAAGAAAAGGGCTGAATCTTACTGCAGAAGAAGACTCCCTGGGATTTGCTGGCTGCTGACTTGGGAGCAAAAGCGAGGCATCTGTTAGTTACGTAACACCAAGTTTACGGAATAAGGAAACGGATGCGCTGGAAGAGCAGTAGGCAACTTGGGAAGGAAAGCTGCTTTAGGGAGGAGATGTGAAGAGAGGGTATGAGTTTCTCTTTTATGTATTAGGCTTGAGGTGATGTCCAAGAGAAACATCCGAGAGAATAGATCTGAAGGCAGCTGGGCATACCAGGCTGAAGGCAGGTAGAGGGATCTCAAGAAGAGAGATTTGGGAGCCTTCGGCCCTGGGACAAAAGCTGAAGGCAAGAGTCAGAGAAAGCCTGCTGAGGGAGGGTGTGGGGCCCAAATGACAGAGATAGAGGAGATCCAGAGGGCACAGTGCCCAGGAAGGCAAAGGAGGATACGGATGCCGAATGACAGACATCTCTGCTTACGTTGTTCAAAAAAGATGCAAATCCCAGAGGCCCTGAGATAGTTTGGCCCATAATGGGTTTGGTTTTTTCATTGTTTTTTTTTTTTTTAATCCCCTTGGCCTTTTGGTTTTGTACAGTTGCCAGAAATAAAATCAGCATCCAAAGATCCTGAGGAAGGAAGGAAGGACAAGGTCAGGAATAATAATATCCTGATGATTGGATCACATGTACCACACCTAAGTGTTTTCCTAATTAGTACACGTAGGCTTTTGGTAACACAGTTACCGTACAGACCCCCTTCCGCTGTCAAATCCTCCGGATCAAGTTCCGCCTCTGTATCACCCCTCCCCTCACCCCCAATTTCTAGAGGACTGATTCTGCCACCACCTTCTTAGTACTTAGGCTAAGAGTGTTTGCTTCTCCTGGACCTCGGTTGTTTTTCTTTTTGTTTTTTTTTTTCCGGCACGCAGGCCTCTCACTGTTGTGGCCCCTCCCTTTGCGGAGCACAGGCTCCAGACGCGCAGGCTCAGCGGCCATGGCTCACGGGCCCAGCCTCTCCGCGACATGTGGGATCTTCCCGGACCGGGACACGAACCTGCGTCCCCTGCATCGGCAGGTGGACTCTCAACCACTGCGCCACCAGGGAAGCCCCAGTGCTCCTCTCTTAAAGCCCAATTTGAACTGGGAGGAATTGGGCTTTATCCATCTCCGTGTCCGCACACTTACCAGCTCTCGTTCGTACACACTGTGTAGGGCCAACACCAAGATGAGCCACTAGATAGATCCCTCTTCCAGAAAGGATGCCTGCCTGATAATATCAGTTAAGATGATGTTAGAAAGATCATTGTCAACATCCTATCAGAGTATTTGCTTTTAGCCCAAATTGCCCAAAATAGCTCTGCTTCATGTTTAGTCCAGTATTTGTTCCAATTTCCAAATCAAACACTGAGACGATTCACTTTTAATTAGCACGCATTTTCGTGTTCAAAGGTATATATATATTATTATTTTGGCTGAGTTGCGTCTTCGTTGCTGTGCGCAGGCTTTCTCTAGTTGCGGCAAGCAGGGGCTACTCTTCCTTGCGGTGCACGGGCTTCTCATTGCAGTGGCTTCTTTTGTAGTGGAGCACGGCCTCTAGGTGTGTGGGCTTCAGTAGTTGTGGCACGCGGGCTCAGTAGTTGTGGCTCAGTAGAGTGCAGATTCAGTAGTTGTAGTGCACAGGCTTAGTTGCTCTGCAGCACGTGGGATCTTCCCGGACCAGGGCTCAAACCCATGTCCCCTGCATTGGCAGGCAGATTCTTAACCACTGCACCACCAAGGAAGTACAGTGTTCAAAGGTATTTGCCAGCAAATTTACAGTTTATAGGAAATAACTGTAAGGTTATTTACTTCTCCCAAAAGCTTATTCCCAAAAGGTCATAATGATGCAAATTGATGCTCTCGTTGCTTAGTTTTCTTTCTCACTAAATATTTATATCAGTAATATGCCCTTCTTGTTTCATTTCTTTCCATTCTATTTCTACCATTGCCTAATAGTGACTCAGGGCTTTCTGGTTCTTATGAGGCATCAAAAGTACAGACTTTGGACTTGGAAAACGTGGGTCTGAATACTGCCTTCCCCCTTACCTGGCCTTTTGACATCTTTGACCTCTCTTAATTTTCCTCAATTTCAAAATCAAGAGACATTCCTGTGTTGTAACATTCTATGAGTCCCCTCAAGGCAGTTCTCAAACTTGACTGAACTTTGGAATCATCAGGGGAGCTTTTAAAAATACCCATGCCCGGGGCTTCCCTGGTGGCGCAGTGGTTGAGGGTCCACCTGCCGATGCAGGGGACACGGGTTCGTGCCCCGGTCCAGGAAGATCCACGTGCCACGGAGTGGCTGGGCCCATGGGCCATGGCCGCTGAGCCTGCGCATCCGGAGCCTGTGCTCCGCAACGGGAGAGGCCACAACAGTGAGAGGCCCGCATACCGCAAAAAAAAAAAACAAAAAAAAACCATGCCTGGTTCCCACTCCCCAGATTCTGATGTAGTTTGGTCTGCATTGTGGCCTGGGTGTGGACCTAATTTAAAAGCTCTCCAGATGTTTCTGTGTGTAACCAAAGTGGAGCTCCATTCTCTTAGAAAAGACTTGAAGTATGATGAGACTCTGATCATACATGTCATACCTCTCATCAGGCCATTTCTGTTGCCATTTAAGCTCATGCATTTGAGATCCCTGCACTCTGCATGCCAGAGTAATTTTCTCACTACCGTCCTAGCCAAAGTAGTTGGAAACACACAAGAACAAGGAAAAGAATGAGCCTCTAATCCAGAAGGTCATTCCTAACCCCTCTCTGTGCCAACTAGGACAGCATGCAAGGCACACGCTCCTGATCATCCCACGAGCCAAATGTCACAGTCATCTGTGCTTTATAAAGAGAATTGCAAATGGATCGGGAGCAAGATCCTGAGCTAATAAGGGTAAGAGTTCCTATTAGGTCAGACAAAACAGCTGGAAGCTCTTCCTTAGAAACACTATCATTTTAAACAATTAGAGGAAAGCATTGACTCTCATTGTTATTTACTAAAATGCTAGCTAGCTTCAGCATTTAACACAGGGTGTAGTGGAGCTGCTAAAAGGAGAGAGAGGAAAAAGCTCCTTAAACACAGGGGCATTCATGGCAGTGAGATCCTTTACAAGGCTTTTAATGACAAATGGAATCGCATCTTATGTATTGGGGTATTCCCTCTACATGGAGCATATTAGGTGCTTAATAAACATTTGAGGAAGAGAGGGAGAAAGACAGGAACAGAGAGGGAAGAAGGGGGAGCATAAACATAAAGGACATAAAGACAAGAATAGATAAATCAAAGTACATGATTCTTTTCCCACATAG